CATGCAAAACATTATGAACACAGATATGACATCCTACATCTAGGAATACAGTAAAATTATGGACTGTTTTGCATGAAATACAGTGCACACTTATAGAATACTCCTGCATATTTATAGTGTCCATATTTCGGCAGTTCTTTTCTCCTATGAAAAGACTTATTAATTGATAAATGCACTAGACTTTCCTTTTCACTTCACTGTGTATTTTGAAATGATACAGCAGAACAAACAAAATAAGTAAAATAAGTAATGACTTTAATTATAGTTCTTGAAGTCACTCTAATAGGCGCAGTGGTTAGCTTTGCTGGCTGCTGTCACTGGGCTCAGATTTGAATCCCAAAGAGACAGGGCTGTTGTATGTGCATGTCTGTTGTCAGTATGGGAAGATTTAAAATATATGGCAAGCGGAAAGTCCTGTCGAATGGTTTGGTGGCAAGAGGAGAGGTGTGGAAGACCATCGAATCTGTCATCCATGAATTCTCCGAAAATCGGAAGGGAACTAGGCAAAGTTGTACTGTCACCCTATGAGGTGCTTCAGCCCATGCTGATAATAGCCAGATTCCTGTACTCCTAGCCATGATAAAAATTCGTGAACTTGGTATATCTCACAACAACAACAATTCTTGGCAGTGAATTATGTTATTTATGCAACAGCATAGTAACAAGAAAGCAGTTATTACTAATTTTAAATAACAGCTTAGTCAAAAAAGAGAAGCAAAAAAGTCAATGTGCGAATCAGTTCTACTTTATAAGTATAAACAGCATCTTGTGCACACATGATAAATAACTGCAAGTTTGTTTTTGTTATAATAAAGAAGTTAATGGAATTTTAAATTATAACTTTGTTATTAATAACCCTGTGCTATGTATCAATTAAAAAAGATGAAAAAGTTAGCTGATTTTACCTAATTCAATGATACTTATTTATTTGTTGAATCAAGATGTTTTAAATCATATCAATACTAATTCATGCTTTCAATATGGAATAGTATATAGCCATAACATTCAATACAGTAGATTATAATATAATTGGATTTTTTTTCCAAAGATCTACCTTCTGCTTGATGCCAATTTTACAGTCAAAAAGTAAAACATCATTACAGTGAAATAAATTGTTATGGTTTCAGATCTTACTTGGGAGATAAAAATTCATACAATACTTCAGCACTGCAACTAATGGTTTAGAAAACATGCAAGCCATATTTCACTGCTAAATCGTTGCTTAGTTTAGTTATAAAGCTATTTTATTAAAAACATTATGTATCATGGTGTACGCATTCACCATTAGTTGTAGTGAAATATTCATAATTTGGTCAAATAAATGAATATCTTTACTAAAAACACAATTTAGTGTCCTTTGTTATGTGCTTAACTATAACTGCTTAATTAAGCTGGAATAAAACAATACAAAATTTTAAAAAAGGGTAATTTAATAACTAACAGTAATTTATATTATAAAACTGCATGTGAATGAGATTTTAAGATAAAATAAAAATTATATATACATTTATGAGATATTCACAGTTTGTGAAATGAAAATAAATGGTAATAATTTAATTCATTCAGAGCTATAATTAGCTTAAATTAACAGTACATATTCTTTAAATATATTGATGCGATGTTATTTGCTCAATGGTTCTAATTTCAATTCTAAAATAATTTCATACCCAACAGGTAGAAAGCAATAAAAAAGAAGCACATAATTTATGTATTATAACAAAACATCTATGAATGATTGCTGAACTATAAACTGGGCACACATGTGTCATCATAGACAAAACATCAGAAAGAAAACTGAAGTTAAAATAATAACTACTGGTTTGTGCATATATAGTTTATTTAAAAGTGTATTTTAAAATTACGAATATAAAATACACACAAAACTTAATAACAACTTTTCAAAAAAAGTAATAACTATAAAGCATGACTGTGAGGATAAAGTTAAATTTGAAACAAATAGTTAAAAAAAAAAAAAAAAAAACTTTCACATTGTTGTCAATAAAGCTGTGAAACCACAACACAAACTAATAAACTACAATCAATAGGATAAATCCCAGTATTTATAACAAATACATAAAACTGTATTTAAATTTTTATATTTCATAATCACATTACTTTTCACAACATTTAAAATATTATATATATGTGTATGTAGCAACTTTCTAATTATTTATAATACAATTTGAAAACTATTATTTGGTTAAAAGACTGGATTCAACTAAATCCAGATATTTTAAAACTGAAATGGTTTTTTAGGCCAATACAAGATTTTAAGATGCTGATATGATAAAGATGTGTAACATTTTTGTAAGGCGGAAAGTTATTAGCTACCAAAGGTGAAATACTTTTTTTACTTGTGTAAATGATATGTTTTATAAATATTAGTTTTAAGAAAGCATAAAAATGTTCATAGAAATAATGTAACTGAACAGAAAATAAAATGTGTATTAGCGTGATATAGTGCTTTTTTTAATAAGATCATTACATGGATTCTGCAGACCACATTTTAGGTCACTGAATACTAATATCATATATACAGTCTATCAATTATAAACTGCAATTGATGATTTTTATATCTTATACCATCAATTTCCACCACAAACCCATTAGTTGCATAACTCATGTATACATTTTTCATTTCTTTCTGAGGTTACGACCCTCTCTACCGTCCTCAGAATCTTTATGCAGCCTCTCTCCCGCCCTCGAGCTACCTCTAAAATGGTTCGCTTCTCGGCCAAGGGGATACATGATAAGCATGAACCACATTTACTTCAAGCCTCTCATGTATTTATTGCTTTTATAAATCATTGTTTCATTACCATTAATAGGCAGATAGCCCTCCTGTGCTTTTCCATATTCAAATAACCAAACCATACATTATCATTAAAAGAAAAAGTTTGAAAAATCTTTAGCAAAAAATCTTACATTTAAATTAGCTCTGAAAATAAATGAATATGCAAAAATGGATATTCACAGAGCAAATACATAATATGGCAAATGGGCAATCCAGACTAATACATCAAATAACACATAGTTCAAAAAGAAGCCAAGATGATCTGGAGAAACAATAGCCATACTATTTATCCTTTGGGACATGCTGATATTTCTGAACATGGCAATTTAACAATTACTCAGTATATCTACTAAATTTTAGAATTCATACAACTCCTTTCATAACTGATATAGAGAACAGGATATTGTAACTAATAATATGACATATGAATTAAGTCACATTTGAAATTTTCAATTTTAAACAATCTTGAGAATATATGCAAATAATCATAAAAAAGTGTGGCTACATTTACGATTTACTGTGTCATCAAGAAGTATAGTGGTTAGGGAAGCTTACTGCAGTACCAAAGGGTCAGGGTTCAAATCCCAGAGAAGGCATGGATGTTTGTAAATGTATAGTGTCTTTGCGACACGGAGGCACTCTAAATATATGGTCAGCATAAGTCCTCTTGTGTGGCGTAATGATAGGGAAGAAGAGCGGGAGACCCTCAGACCACGCCCGGGGTGCTCACCCACAAAATTGGAGTGGAAATAGAAGTCCAACCTCGAGGCTCTGGCAACCATTCTTCCATGAAATTCATCGACAAGATAACAACTACAATCCCTAACTCATGATTCAGAAAACATCTCACTAATATCTATGATGAATCTCCATAGTACAGTGGCCAGTAGACCTTCAGATCTGTTGTCAAATGAAGATTTTTTGGAAAATCATCAATAGTGAGTTGTAGGCTCAACCAGAATTTCCTTTAATATCAAACAAGATAATTTTTCACAAAGGCTTTGGTAAACATAGTAAAAGCATGATAAATAGATAAGCAAAGGTTTGGTTTATTTAATTACGTCAAAACACATAAGGGCTATCTGCCTAAGGGAAAGGATGCCTTCGTGGAGCACTTTCTAAGGAAAACTGGCACATGTACAAGTTAAACAAAATGAACCACGAAAATGGCCATGTGGCCAGCCCGTTTACCTGGAATTGAATCCAGGTCATAACTATCAGTGTTCAGCGACTTTACTGCTCAGACTCATAATCATAGGACAGTTAGCCTTAAACACTGTATGATATTTATATGCTTCAGTGCAGAGACGGATAGTGAAATTCATCACAAACAAATATGCAGCCACTTGATACTAGTATGGAAATATTCGTCTTTTTTCAGATAATAAAAGATATATAAACATTTCATTACACCGTGTTTATTATCTAAGTACACCTATTTCTAAATTTTATGAAAATTGCATTGCATTTTCACAGTAACCTAATTTCATTTTACTCTTAACATGTTTTAGATACAGATTTGCATGGAATACAGATATATGTGAAAATTTACAAAGTGTTAAAAATTTTCCACATTCCTCTAAATCTATAAATTTTAATTAGTGATTCTAGTTTCTCACTACTGCATTATTTGTTGAACAAACTTAGCAAAATCATGTTAATTGTAATTTGTAATATTATTTAGTACTGAATCAGGGCACAGTACAACAATTTAATTTTACTTTTAACATGAAATACTTTTTTATTACTCAAAACACGTGGCCATAATTTTTTTTTTTTCAAAACATATTTACCCATCTTGTATGATAAAACTACCATGAATTATTTTAATTTATCCAAACTGGCTTGCTTCATCTAAGTTTATTAAAATAACTTCTGCAGAATGAATTATAAAAGGTAACCAGTTTTATATAAAACATTACTGAAATAATTATTAACAAATATGTTTCCGTGAATGGACTTTTTAAATACACCTCCCTGAAAATCCTGTTCACATTCATAACAATAAAATTTTATTAAAGTCCTAAATATGTATTTGATATTTTGCTTCAATAATAAACAGCTTCATGTGAGATTCTATTACCAAGTTTACAAATCTTAATATTTATTAGGTACTGCTCATCATTTGATCTCCTACAATTCAGTACATGTTTTTGATTGCACACAAATTTTTATTAAAATTGAATTGTAATAAAAAAAATCTAAGTCAGTATTCCAAAAGTTCCTTTTTATTTAACTATAAGATTGGTTAATTTTCAAGATGGTAATACTCTGATAATTTAATAAAAACAAATAACAGACATTCTCATATCTAGACTGACCAAAGACACATAGAAAATTTCAAAATTTATTACACATTACAGTTTTCATAATGTCTTTAACCATCTCTACGTGTATGACAGCCTTTATTACTCTCTGTGTGGATACATTTTCAGTCATTCAATAAGCATGCATGCATTCCTGATTCATAGCACTTTTCTTTGGCGCTTGTATCTTCCTAGCTCAAAAAAATATTATAGTTTCCTTATGCTAAAATGTTGATAAAAAGAAAATGTGCGGTAATCTTCATTGAAAAAATTAATTATTTCAATCATAAGAATTAATGAGGAAGTGACTTAATGAGGAATACAGTTGAGGAGTTTAACATTAGAATTTCTTTGATGAATGACAGAATTACCCCAGTGAAAAAGCTTTCTGAAAAATCTGAAGAAGTTTTACGGATTAATTCGATAAATTTACATGAGAAGTTTCGAAGTGTAACAGAACTACCAAAAGAGAAGACACACAGAGATAAACAATGATGCAAATTATGAAATCATGGATAAGCAAATCTTGTAAATAAAAAGGAGCAGAATAAAAGCTGTGATGCTAAATAAGAATGTTCTCAAGTGAAACCCATGTCTTTGAAGGTAACATTTTAAGTATTAGAAGTAAGCATTAAATTTTTCTTTTCAAAGTTTTAATAAAGTATATATATTTTCATTTTATTTATTTATTTATTTTGTTTAGGTTGTCTTAAAATTTGACGAACAGCACAATTTACGGATGTGATGTGACAAAGATGAGACACTGGCATGATGTAGCAGCTCGTCTATGGATTGAGACAACAAACAATTTTGCCACAGTATTTTAAAAAATGCTTGTATTTGTCAAAAATAAATGCCAAAATCAAATAAAGCTTTTCTTATATATAGTAGGTACACATATGCTACAGTTTTGTTTTTAAAATATTACTCTTTTGTATTTGCATTTTTCTCATATCCAAATCACTCCTGGTGGCATTGGTTTGAATATGGGAGTCTACTATAGTCCGCATTAACATATAAATTACACACACACACAAACAAACAAACAAACAAAAAACAAAAAAAACCAAAAAAAAAAAAAAGATTGTTAAATAATCTCATGTTCCTATTTATAATCTCATATGATATGTTTATAATGAAACATACCTTTTTTTACAGAAATACATAAAATGGGCACAGAAGTTATGTAACACTGCAGAAATACATAAAATGGGTACAGAAGTTATGTAACACTGCCAAATAGCTACATACACAACCACAAATCTTTAAAAGAAATCAGACCCAATACAATTCAGTTTGAAGCACTCAGCTAGCAAGAACATAAAATTACACATAACCTTGTAAGTTTTTTCTTAATATCATTAAAAACATTGTATGTTATTACATGCAGCTTTAGCAATGAACACAAAGAATCAACATTTTTACAAGGTAATTTATTTCTTCGTAATTTCATTTTTAAAAGATTTAAATATATAATTAAACGGTCTGAATTTACTTAATTGAAATAAATTCACGACAACAAAGAAATACTATTTTCATGCATTACTTCTATTTTGCATAATTCTTGCATATCAACCTTGTCACACTGAAAATTCACAGAAAATTTTCTTACAGCTAAGAACTGTATATTTTTTATAACTAAGATGTATATTTGAAAAATTACATGAAGTTTGGGATTGTAAAAAAGACAGTGTAAAACAAGAGGCTGAAATAGCTTCATTAAAAAAAATCAGCAGCACACTGGTGACAACTGCATTTAAAAAGGCAACAATACAATAGATCTATCTATCTATACACTATACATTTAATTTCAACAGGAGTATCTTACTGAAATGCTGACACTAATTAAAATTATCTTCTGAGCTTAAAGAATAGTATTATGCTTGATGCTCTAAGACAGTGATTGCCAAACAGTTGATCAGAAGCAAAGGACAGCCCATGGCAGAATTTTTAATATTTTCCTCCCTTTAGAGAAATATTAGCCCTTGCCCAAAAAAGATGAATAGTTTAAATATATTACATACCAATTCATTCAGGAATAACTTTAAAAAAATATGGCTTTAAGGGAATGCAAAAAATCATTTAAGTTATCCTATAATGTATCCCCCTTCTATAATGTACAAATAAAAATTAAGCTGTTCCTATCAGGTTTTAATTGTATCTTACAGATATCATAGTTGATAGAAATGCATTTAAAATTATTCAGCTGAAAACTGCACTGTAAGGGGTGCCATTTATTCAAGACCAAAATATTTATTTTTGTTGAAAACATACCTATTCAAAAACAAGTGAGTATCACAACCAATAACAATATTCTGGCATAAAGGGCAATGAAGATAAAATGGAATAATGTTCCATGTTCTCTTGCCCTTTATGCCAGAATTTGGAAGTATTTCTATGCTTTTATTCATATTATAATTCAGTCATAGCATTTTTTTATTATTCATGGTTTCATTCACTCATTTTTTATCATTCATAGCTTCATAATTCATTCACAGGACTTTTTTTTTTGTCAGCAGGTAGTATGCACAAACTATTGAAAATTTCATGAATTAAGGAAATACACTGTTAAACCAATTTACAAATAAAACTAAAGTTCTTCATAGATGCTAGTTTAAAGTCCTGACATATGATATTTGTTGCCAGTGAGGAAAGTTCCTGAATTCAAAAATGCATTGGTTAGTAAAGGACTACTAAAGAACATTTAAAAAAAAAAAAAAAAAAAAAAAACTCTCCACAATAAACAGAATTTGCTTTTCGTGTGGATACCATACAAAAAATCAACAAACTAAATAATCAACTTCAGAAAAAAAAAGAAAAAATTCTTCCAAACATACAGGCAATTTCCAGGGCAAAATAGTAAGAGTCAAATATTTTCTCATTTCGATAGATGAACTGAAAAAAAAAAAAGAAACTTATTGTAAAACTTAAAAGAGATGAAGTTATATTCAAATACCTTCAAGCTTGCAAGAACAGTCTAGCTGTTAACAAAAACTAACACAGTAGTTTTTATCAGCTTCCTTTATACATACTATCACTGAAAAACTGAATGATAGTTACTATACAATATTTTCAAAAGCACAGCTGCTTACAGGTGACCAATTCTCGATATAATTCATCACTACAGAATGTCATTTCATTTGCAGAATCTGTATAGCCTTCCATTTCTGGTTCAAACAACCTAGTTCACAAATCTTTGTTTTAAAATAAATCATCAATTTAAAACAAATGTTGAATACAGGTTGCAGATAAACATCTTGATGGATAGATTCAAGGGAAGGTAAATACTGACATAAATCGGAGAAATTAAGCTTTAACCCCCTAAAATTAGAAAAATAGTAAAAATAAATGTGAATTTTTAAGTCTCTGCAATTTCAAATTAATTTACTCAGATTTTCATTTTTTTAACTACTGTGTACATTTTTTTGGTTGTTTATATTAATTCATTTATGCAGATTAGTATATTTTTATTTATTTATTTTTTTTCTGAAGTTCACATTTATGCATAATGCACCTAAACATGTAATCCCAGCTAGTAATAATATGCAAAATGTTAAAAAATATTTAAAATACACAGCTCACAAAATAATTAAAGTTTTACAGTAGCTCATATGCTTTTTGAGTTTGATGATCACTGTCATAGAACATAATTAAAACCAGAAAATCCCCTTAATAACCTAGAAAGCATACATAAAAATAACAATAAAATTATTCAAAATATATAAGAAACAAAACCTAAAGTTGCATAAATGATGGGAATTTGAGTATAATTTAATTTCAAGCAAAACAGGAACAAGGTTTACCCAATTTAAATAAGTTTAATTAAAATGTATTTATTTTGGCATGATATACTGGTAGGAAAATAATTTATTCAATTTTAAACAAATTCTTAAAACTCATTAGCTGATATTTGCCACTTTATTACTTGTATAAATAAATCCTTCTACCTTAAATGGAATATACATATTTTCTCAAGCAAATTAAGAAACTGTACACATATTCATTTAACCTAGGAATGTCCAACCGCTTCAGGAACACAAACTACTTTTCTTCTTTCATATAATTTCATAATTTACTACTCAGTCTAACCTATATAACCAAATCTTCAAAAATACCAGTACATACAATATCTGTGTTTAAGACTTTTAAAAACTTAAACATGACTTAATTTTTTAACAGTAACTTTGCTCAGTCTTTTTTAACCAAAGAAATATTTATTTTTGCATCTCAAATTAACTGATATAGTAATATATATATATATATATATATATTTTTCTATTTATGTGGAGAACATCAACTTATCTCAGAACTATCATAATTTCCAAAGAAATTTTTGAAAATATTTCATCTTAAAATAAAATTATTAATTATTTTTAGGAGTAAGTGATTATGAATTTGACCAGCATTTGTAAAACATACTTTATTTTACAAATCCACAGGGTTCAAATGTACTGGTTATGTACAAAGTTTTCTCCATTCCACTTAATGATTCACACATCTTAAAGTATTTAAAAGCATGTTTTAAAAATTATTACACCTAATGATAATAAAAATGCTAATTTAGAAAGCAAAATTTACAAAATGATTATAACACGGAAAACAAATTCAAACTGCCAGCTTAATGCTTTAAACCCTCGAAGAGCATGACTACTTTTATTTTGTAATAAAATTTGTTACGAGTATGTATTATCTTGTTCTCCCAATTTTTTTTTAAATTTTTATTTTCTTTAATGTATCTAGACACCATTCTAATGAATGGAAGGTTACAAAAAGAAAGAGTAAAATTAGTAATTATATAAATCTAGATAAAAAATGTTCAGTAAAAACAGCTCTTCATAAGTTACTCTAAAAAGTGATGCCAGCCAGAACGTTAAACTACAATTCATTACTGTTTAACATCCACTTATTTTGAAATGATCGGTACTTACGTATTAGTGCAACTTGGAGCAGTTTCACAAATTTACAGAAGAACAATAATGACTTATAATTGCAAAAAGTTATTTATTACATATAAATATATTATTATAGACATACTTCATCTTGTACTAGGTCTTTATCCCAAAATAATAATCAATAAACCTACTTACAGGCAAGCTTTTGTTTCTTATGTTCTAGTAAAAATTTTATCGTGATTATTTTAAGAAAAGATTCTAAGCAATAGTTCCCTTTAGCAATTTTCACCAAAATACCATATTCCTGCAGAAATTTTACTGCAGTTTCTTTCAGTTCAGGTAAACACATATTTTTCAATTCAGTTTAAGATAAAAAAATAAAAAGAATGAATATAAATATTGCGATGCTGGTTGTTAAAACTGAATTGCATGATTGGCACATTCTGAAACTTCGGTAATTTCTATTAAGGTGCTTGCTATAATACTAAGTACCAAATTATCTTCCACAATATGTAATAAAACCACTTTAAACCAACACTGCTTATATTTTGTTCTCTCAATACAATAAGGCTGGAAAATAAAGGAACTGGTATTTAAGTGCAAAAATATGAATATACAGAAGTCAATATCAGTACTCACAATAGCAAAGTAACTCAAATTTAAATTGACGGAAGTCTGAGGGGAAAGAATTCTACAGTAACTGGATTCAGAAAATTATGTTACTTTCATATATACTGAATCCTAAATAAAGTTGATAACACATCTTTCAGAAATTGAGCAAATATCCATTAAAATATTTGACTGATTCTTATGGTAAGTTATGAAGACAACATACATAATAAAAACATTCTAACTTTACAGGAAGGCTTTCCATATGTATTTTAATAAAATTTTAAACTTTTCTAGCACACACAATTTATATAATTTCCTAATTAAATAAATCTAGATGATTGATATTATAAAACTCATCTTCAAGCACAAATGCAATATTTTTTAATCAATAATTTGTGAATAGTTTTCATTAATTAATTTTAATAAATTTATTACATCTAAACTATAATATACAACTAACAAAGCACAAAATTCCAATGCACTTATATTACATCTAATCTGCATTTTAAATACTCTAAAACTGAAATTATACAGCAATATATTACAATAAACTTTAAATATAAAAGCCTGAAAAAATATGTACACGAATTACTTTTAAAAAATGTACATAATCTCAAAAGTAGCAGTCTAAAATAGTAAAAAAATCAGAGTATGTTATAAATCATGGTAGTCATGCTTTGTGAAATCGTCTTTCTTCAATTCCAAGCCATCAAATCGAGCTTCATGGTTAGACTTGACTCCCATGTCAGCAGAATACGCTCTAGGACGGCTAGTAATTAATTCTGATGTAGAACGAGTATCTTCACTTTTTCGTCTACTTTTAAGGATTGGTCGAGGCTGTTCTTCTAAAGCAAGTGGAGTTTTCTTTTTTAAAATTGGTTTTAATTCACCACTTGGAAAACTAGCATATGAACATTCATCACTGAAACTAGTTCGTTTTTTAAGGATCGGACGGGGTCTTACAGATCCTACAGGAGATTCTTCATCAGTACTTACTTTCAGAATGGGACGGATGTCAGGGCCACTGTTGCAACTTTCATCTTCACTGGTTGACTTTTTCAAAATGGAATGAAGATCTGTCTGCGGCCATACATCTTTTTCTTCTGAACTCTCCCTGTGTTTAAGAATAGAAGGAGGAGTTTTTGACAGCTTATCATCTGTTGGCAGCTTAAGAATTCCATGGAGTTCCTTTTTCTCTTCAGAGGATTTCTTTCGTAAAATAGAGCTTGGACGTTTCTCTCCATCAGAACCACTATCATCTGAAGGACTATGAGGTTCATAACCTACAAAAGTCTTTTCTGTGGAAATTTCAAGATTTTCCATTTTAATTGTATTCTTTGTCAATTCTGAGTCATCAAGTTCACAGCTTCCACTTTCTTTATCTTTGACTTCAACATTTTCATGTGAATCAGAATTTTGAAAAGTACAACTTATTTCATTCGACATTTGCTGAATTTTAGAATTAATGCTTAGGCTTTCCTTTTCCTGAGATGTGCTGTCAAAATTAATTTCACTTTCAACTACCGTAGGAGAAATTCTCTCATGTGGTAAAACATGAATAACATACTCAGTAACTGTTTGTTTCCCAGAGCTGTTTTGACTAGTATCGGCATTACAATCATTATTCTTTGATATTTTGTAGGATAAGAGTTTTTGTGAACTTTTAAAAATGTGTTCCTTATTATTCAAGCTCAAACATTCAGGAACATCAAGTTCTTGAGCAGAAAGGGAAACGGTGTTGACAGGTACTTTTGGAAAATCTGCCAATGTTTCTAGCTCATCAGCTGAATATGAAATCTTCTTTAAATGAAGAGATGCTGAATGATTCCACCTATGCTGCCAAAATTTAGCACGATTGTCCTGAAGTGTTTTCGGCAATAAATTTGCCTTACTGTTAGCCATCACGCTGTTTGGGAGAGCACCCTGTAACACATATAATAACAAATTGTTGTAAGTTAATTATATGACAAAAATAAAAACTATGCTCAACATTTCAAAAACATTTCAACTTGTAAAACTATAAACTTAATAATGAAAGTGCTAAAGTTTTCATATATGTTCTACATTCTAACATATTAACCATGTTAAAAATGACTAGTCTATTTTTCCATTAACAACGATTATCTGAGGCAGCAATGCACAAGTAAAGTTTAGAGTGAAACTAGTAAATTAAATGGCAGACAGACTATTAAATTACATTTATTAAGAAAGCAATACCTGCTAACAACTAACTATGTTAATAATGAATAAGTATTCCAAACATAATGCATAAATTTTTATATACAATTTACATAAATATACATTAGAAAAATAAATAGAAAATTTAAAACATAAATTTAGTATAAAAGAAAAATTAAAAATTTTAAAAAATTAAATAGAAAACAGTGAAAGCCATTTTAGCAAGTTACTGATAATATACAGGGTACATCAGAACTATGCCTGCATGTATGATCACATTATGTGATATCAGAAAAAAGACTATAGATTAGGAGAAATGAGATAGTACCACTGGAAATCAAATCCTCAAACTAAAAAAAAAAAAAAAAATACTAACCACAGATCCTTTATTACCTCCTGCCTACCATTTCGAATGTTTTCAATTGTTAGCAATGTTGCTCCATTAGTGCTACTGCAGATACCTTTCAGGAAATTTTTCTGAATGTTTCTGTTCTACACAGTCATTCCCTTCCCCTTCTCACAGCCAGTGGTAACTCAGCTGCATTAAAATAATGTCTCTAGTTTTATTGGCCTCATGATCATTCTAAGCAATGATCAGTTGCATCACTGGCAAATGGTAAACACCACTACTTCAGCTGTAACTTATCACTACACATTCAACATAATCTTGGTTAATAATATAAGCTTGGTGTGCAGTTCTCATTTAATATGGAAGGAAAGAAATTTCAATTTTAATATACCATTCACCATTTCCCTCTATAATATACAATCCAAACGACATTTACTTTGAAAGTGCAACCACATTTCTAACTCAGTCTATGGATCTTCCAGCCTTACTAATTCTTAAAATTTAAGATCTATGAATATCAGTAAATTTCAGATATCCATAACCTAAATGATATTTTCTCTTGCAGTGATAAAATAAAGATTAAACATTTTCATCAAATAACTTTTGTATATAAATTACGTAACAATTTTTAAAAATAAGTCTGCATGAACAAAAAACTACATTCTGCACAGTTATTTTCAATGCTCCAGATGCAAAACATAATTTTCAAGAGAAATTCTACATATTATTGAAAACTTCTAAACTATTGTTACCATCATTCACTATTGAAAATTACAATTACAGAAGAATCCTTTAAACTATAAATGAAAATACGTTTCCTTTTCATATTTATTTTAATTAAAAATGCATATAAGAGTACAGTAAATATATAAATTATTTTATTAAATGTCCTCATAATAATTTAAAATGAATTTAATTTCATTTTCATTTTAAATACACTTATATTTTAAAAATTAAAACAACCATATATATTTTTTATGCATTAAAAAACATTTTTTATATTCCACAGAACAAAAAAGGGGTCAAATATATCAAAAAAATTTAAAACTTAAATTTAAACAGATTAGAAATATAAAACTGAAAAGGCATATATTATATACATATACACACACTCGTCATTAAATGAGAAAATATTTGCTATGTTAATGCTGAAACCAATGCCCAATGCTTAATTATTTATATTAATTAAATACAAATGAACAAAAAATTGCACTTCTCTGTGCATACGCTAGTGCCGGAAATATGCAAATTCAGTAACTGACAATGTGGTGCGCAATGGAAGCATGTTGGAATTCCGGTCTGCAGTGTTGTTTTAAGTGAATGTGTTTCTGAGAGTGATCAGTATTCAGCAGTTATGTCTCAAAGGCATCATTTAATTGAAGGTCAAAAGTGGCAAATAATTGGTAGAATCGAGAGAGGTCAAACACAACTGGAGTCTGCCCAAGGTTTGAATATCCCTCAAAGTGTCATACCAAGAGTATGGACCAGCATTTTAAACACCAGATCAGTTGACAGACAGCTGAATCAAGGGCAATCAAAAGCAAGAACTGCAGCAGAAGATCATTTTCTTTCGTTGTTTGCTCGAAGAAACTGCAAAGCGACTACAAGAGATTTAGTTTTAGACCGTCAGACTACTGCATGAATTTAGCATTCTACTACTGCATGAAGATTTAACCAGCTTAGACTGTATGCAAGAAAACCAATGGTTTATGTTCCACTCACTCCAGCTTCAAGAGCAGCTCGTTTAAACCGACACCATCATCATGCTAAGACTGGCACCATCAATGAAGCCAAGACAACTGGGTTCAAGTATAGTTTACTGGGGAAACCAGATATAATCTGAACAGATTCTAGACATGTCTTGATCTGGAGAGAGGAAGGAACATGCAACTTAAATTTCCTTGCCAATGAAATATGCCTTTTCTGCAACTGCGAGTTTAATGATTTGGAGAGGAATCATGACAAATGGCTGCACCAAGCTGCATACATCAAAGACGTTCTGTAACCATCGGTTACATGATGATCATGGAGATATGTAGACGAGGTACTGGAACCATAAAATTAAGACTGTTTAGGAGTGCTGATATCCCAGAGTTTTTGCTTGTGGATGACAATGCTCAGCCTTGTCGAGCATACATGGTGTCAGAATACTCGCAGAAGATATCACTTGAATGGACTGGCCACCTTACTCAACCAACATAAATCTGATTTGCCATGTGTGATTTGCCATACAGTGCTAAATTTCAGCACGCCAAACCCTTTTCCGGACCCTCCAGGAGCTGAAAGTGCACTTTTAGAAGAGTGACATGCAGTTTTACAAGACTTGATCAACACTTCGGTAAAGTCTATGAAAACAAGATGTGAGGTATGCATATTTTTCCAAGATGACCATACACCATATTAAAGAAAAAAAATTTTCCACAAGAGGTGATTGAAATTTTTCATCATTTTTTGATTTCCATAAATTTGGTTTTAATTTCAATATTTTGCAAATAATCAACTGACAAACATTGTAATTTACGTTAACTAATACAGTGCTAAATTTTAGCATGCCAAACCCTTTTCCGAACCCTCCAGGAGCTGAAAGTGCACTTTTAGAAGAGTGACATGCAGTTTTACAAGACTTGATCAACACTTCGGTAAAGTCTATGAAAACAAGATGTGAGGTATGCATATTTTTCCAAGATGACCATACACCATATTAAAGAAAAAAAATTTTCCACAAGAGGTGATTGAAATTTTTCATCATTTTTTGATTTCCATAAATTTGGTTTTAATTTCAATATTTTGCAAATAATCAACTGACAAACATTGTAATTTACGTTAACTAATGCTTCTGTATAAATTTCTATTAATTATTTTTCATTAACTATCAGCTATGTTTTATTTTCATTATTATCCTTTAATTTTGATAACCTTTGTGTGTGTACATATATATATATATATATATATATATATATATATATACAGGGTGATTATAATTAAAGTTGTGATTTCAAAATGCTCTTACTTTGAAACACAGCTCAGAATGATTTGATGTTTTACCAGAATAATCCTAAGGTAATGGAATTTTATTTGGCGAAGGAAACAAATAGTTACAAAATGTGTAGATAGCTGGTGCTATCAGTGTTCACATTGCTGTTGTGGATGTATAGCTGAAAGGAAACAATAGACCCCAAGGGTTTATGATACTTTTATTAGCGAAAAGACAATAATACGCATTTACAGAGAAAACAGCGATACTGACAAGAGAAGCTTCACGAAACAAACACCTTATGAATGATTAATGCATACATTGTTCGATATGCTCTCCTCCTAGTTCCGCTGCTAACTGGAAGTGCAAAACTGCATGTTCCACAGCAGATTAGAAGGTATCTGTGCTGATGCTATGAATGTGATGTGTGATGCTGGTTTTCAAGTCAGCCAGATTCACAATCCGCCTACTATAAACAACATTTTTCAGATATCCCCAAAGCCAAAAGTCCCACGGATTTAAGTTGGGAGAGCGTGGCAGCCACGTTGTTGGAAAATGGCAGCTTACGATTCTAAATGAGCAATCAGCAACAGATTCACACGAGTAACAATGTTCGGGAGGGTACCATCTTGCATGAATATAGTGTGATGCACACATTGATGTTGCTGAAGTGCCGGAAGGACATGGTTATACAAAAATGCTCCATACCGCTTTCCAAAAACTGTGCAGGTAATGGGACCCCCAGGTGTGATCTCCTTGAAGAAAAACAGATCGATGACAAATGCTGCCATTATTTTGCACCACATAGTGAGCTTTTCAGAGTGAAGAGGTAATGGCTGTAATGGAAACGGATTCTCAGCCGCACATATCCTGCAATTTTGCGTTATTTACAGAACCTTGCAAATGGAAATGAGCTTTGTCAGACCACAGAATGTTCTAAGGCCACTCATTATCCACTTCCATCCAGGCAAGAAATTGTAGTACAAACAATTCACACGCTTCTAGGTCAGCAAGATTAAATTTATCTATCATTTTCCACAGGCCATATGTGGTCATTGGGCTGGATTTTATGCCTTTTAATGTCTGGAACTTCCCAATAGCTGTTAAAGCACAGTCACCATTCTGATAAGAAAGCTTCACGAAAAGAGCACGATCCTTCTTCATCACAGTCATGATGAAGCATTCAGGCAAAATGTTATGTGTGTCCTTAGTGCTCTGCACTATATCTTAGCCATGTCTGCAAGATGCATGTTACATCTCAGTAATTTGCATACCAACAGCAATGCAAACCCTGATAGTGCCATCTATCGGTATATTTTGAATTTTTTTTTTCTTTTCCAAACAAAATTATATTGCTTCATGACTGTTCTAGTAAAATATCAAGTCATTTTGAGAAGTAGCTTTAAAGTTAGAGCGTTTTGAAATTGCAACTTTAATTATAATCACCCTGTATTTCACTAATTTGATAAATATTTAAATACATATGGAGAAAAGAGTCATGCTTATATTTTAAAACAAGTTATGCTTAAAACAGTTGTCAAAAAATAATTTCCAACATTTCCTTAAAACCTAAAAAAAGCACACAGAGAAAAGATCACATAGAAACATAAACATAGAATATAGGAAAACATAAAATTCTCAAATTCTACTGCAAAATTGACATTTATGTATTTGCATAAAAAAATTTACCTCATTGACTTTCCTCTCCATTGCTTTTGCTGCTGTACATGAAGAATTATGTTTTCTTTTACTTGCACTAGATAGGAACTCTGCATTTGGCCGAAGTGACTTTGTCTCACTCTGTTCATCAGACGAACTTCTTTTATTTTGAATATTTTCTTGCTGGTAATACGCATTTCCTGGAATAAAAAGGTATCACATCCTAATTACTTTTAAGTAATTATTATATCATTACAATTTAAATAAAAATTGATATTATGGCTTTCAAAATACTGACAGCAGGAAACAACTTATTATGCTATTCATATATAAAGTTTCAGAAATAATCACACATTAGTTTGGCAAATTGCAATCAAAATCGAAAATATAAAAATTTGAACAAAATCAAAAGTGAAAATATGAAGCATTAAAACACAGGAGATTGAATTTCAGAGAAATAAGTTACAACAGAACTTTAATTATCTGGCCTAAGAGGGATTAAAAACAATTCAAATTGCTATAGTGCAAGTCGGTGAACTGATCTGCAACTGCTGTGATAGCAAAAAAAAAAAAAAAATAATAATAATAATATATTTTTATTTACTAAATTGTTTTCAAAACGGTTAAAGAGTTACTTTTAAAAACTTCTCATTTAAAAAAAAAAAATTTCTTGATGTAGAAACCACTGCAATTACATGCAACAGAATTCAAAACAATTCTCCTTTAATTAATTACTTAATGGCAATTTAAAGATCATATTAAAAATAGATATAAAATAAATCCATTAGTGAAAGAGTATGCATGAGCACTTCAAAGCTTTTCTCTTTTCCACTTGTGACCATAATGCACATTGCCATCATCGCACAGAATTTATTTTCCCAACTCATTTGAGACTGTATTTCAACATGTTTTCCTTCATGTCCTTTTCATGAAGCAAAACATGCTACATGGAAATACATTAGGAAAGAAACATGAGATATAAGCATTTGCCACAGCCATTGTTATCGTGGTTTCAAGGCAAGATGGGCGAAAAAAATGACCCTAAATTTCCAGTTTTAATGTAAAACACCATAGTTCTGACATTCTCACCGACAGGATGCCAAATAATGCAGAACACATTCCCCTTCATAACAGTTATATTTCCTTCTAACTAGCTGGTAATGGAATAGAAAGCAAAAACTATTTAATAAAATTCTAGCAGTAAATAAACTGACAGGCAACTAGCTAAAGCAATAATAATAATAAATAAAATAAACAGCAATTTTATTGAATTCTAACATATAGAAAAGTTACAAATAATTCTTATGACTGGATAAAATAAGCTGTATCATTCATTCAGAGATAATTCAGGAAACAGATTTAACATTCTTATTGGATTCTTAACATATTCAGTATTCTGTTATGAAAGATTACTCTAGTTCCTTGGAAATAAAATTCTCAGAAAGTTGTTTCCAAAATCTAATATCCTATTTTTCTGTGGTAGAATATATCTATCACAATAAAATTTTGAGAAAAGTTTGATAAATTTTACTATGAACTGACTTATGAGATTATTTGCATTTAATCAAATTATTTTATAAAACAATACTATTGTTTGATTAAAAAAGTACCATTATTTTTTATTTATTTACAAAACATGTGCACACTACTAAAAAAAGATCACTAAGTTTATAAGAATTTCACCTTAATAAAAAAAAATCTGAACTATACCTTTAATGATTTAACAAGCACAAAAGATAAACAAAACCAACCTCCAGAAGATGGAGAAAAATTAATAAAATCTATTCTATTTAGACTAGATTTCCTTTTGGAGCTTTTATCTTTGTATGGCTTAGCATTTCTCTGATGTAAAGGATCATTTTCATTTTCTGAATGTGCCAGCTGTAAAAAGAACAAGTCAAAACTTATTTATAAAGTACAATACTGAGTACTAACATAAAGTGTTACAAACTCTTATCTATAATGATACAACTATTAAAACAATAATTCTTATAAAATTTCAGATATTTGCAGTATTACACATTGTTTTAAATTATCCCACATCAATGAAAACAACTACTTCACATTTTTCAATTTTATCCACCACTTGGCACTTTCCTAATTCTTGGCTTTGGGGAAGCCTTCTGATAGTAAACCACAGAATATTGATAGATATGATTCTTAAGCAATAGGAAAAGATACAACTGCGATTTTGAAGAATTTCAATGCCAAACAATGGTTACTATTATTATTATACTTTATCACATTAAAAAGTATCCATTCTTTTTATACAAGCTTAGAAATAAACAGAAGTTTAAACTGCAGAAGTTAAATAATAATAATAAAAGATATACAAAAACTTTAAATACATGCTTTAAGACATGTATGTTACAGTTTCTCTATGTCTTATTGCAGATATTATTGAATAAATGACATGAATAAAACATACTTATGTATTATTGCAACTACCTTAGTAAAAACTCCCAATTTTTCAAAATGCACTAAACTTTGGCAACTACATGCACAATTCTTTTGGCAACCAAAGCATGTGCATGACTTTTTTCAGTTTTAATAGCTAATGTTGCCAAATTCATATGTGTTCTCATTGTATTCCAAATTTAATGTTCTTACAGAGAAATCTTGATTTTTTTAGGGGGTCTTAAATTCAATTTCAAAATATGAGCTCACAAGATTTGCCTGCCCTAGAAGGAATTGCTGTGAAATTTCTGCAGGAATAAAGTATTTTGCTGCAAAATCATTAAAGGGTACAATTGCTTTATGCATCTTCTTAGCTACTGCCACAAAATGAGTAATTCAAAGTGATTGCCACAAAATTTTCATTCCAACAAAAGAAATAAAAGCCTGTGTATAAGGAGGTTTATTGATTGTTTTTTTAATTAATATCTAGTTCAAATAAAAAACTGTCTATGTTCATATATAATAAATGATTTGCAATTATTTTCTCTGTAAAACTTTAAATTCTTTACATTTCTTTAATTTTAATTCTTCAAATTTCCGAAAATAGGTTGCATTGGTAACACCATCTATTGATGAGAAATGGAATCACCACAGTTTTGCTAGTTAGATCAAATGTGGACCCTTTGATTCACAGCCAAGTAAAGCAAAAGTCAAGTACTGGTACTAAATATGTCATGTCTTTTCTGTAAGTGAAATAACTATAATCCTTGCTTGGTGTACAGAATGGTATTTTTTAAATTGCAGCTGTAATGTAATTCAGCCTGATGCATTATAAGGCATGTTTATGGGTCTTAACTATTTGCAGAACAAGCATATTGTTGTGTGTGTGTATGGGTTCGTAATGTATTGAATGCACAAAGAACTGAGGATAGCTTGATAAAATTTATTTTTCCATAAGAAATACTTTACAGTTCTGGAACATTCAACAAAAGAACTCATATAACTTTTTTAAGTATAGATCTCAATTAGTGATTACCATTTAAACTACTAAGAATGTTTAATACAGTATAATGCAAAGTACATCTAAAAAAGCAAAGCTTGCAATACTCTGAAGTCCCTCCTGAATTAAAAAACTGAGAAACTGATGCTCTCTCTGGTCTTATATAGTTTTCTCTCGGCCACCGACAAATCTCTAGAACCTTCCATATTTTTAAATTACTGGAAGGCATATGATGGCTGGATACAGTTATATATAGGTATCAAAATATGTCATTTGATACCTATATGTAACTGTAATATGTAACATTTGATACCTATATGTAACTGTACTCTTTATAACTGTATAATTGGTACTGTAATTACAATACCAATTACAGTTCTAAAGGTACCTAACCAAAACATTGCTAAATGGTCGCCAATTCTGGCTATTTTTGGCAATTTTTTGCTGAATTTGTTATCCAAACCACCACCACCTTGGTGATATCTCTCCAGTTTAGTGAGATAGCCATTTACCTCAGTGTTAACTAGGCTTATCCCTGTAATCTTAAGACATATAAATAAGCCCTGGTGAGTTGAGGCATGCAAGGAAAGGGAGAGCTTCAAACAAGTTTGTATCACTAATTTGAAATGTTCCACAATGTATGTTTTCATTTGTAAATTACAGCAGTATCGCCATTTACTGAAAACTTTGTAATTTCAGTTGGCTAGTATAGAACCACAGATCTTCCAGTTTGTAGGCAGGGGCATATCCTAAATTTCCATAAAGGGCACTCTGCTGAACATGAAAGAGTTTGAAAATTATATTAATAAATGAAAATTAGAATTACATATATCTGAAAGTTGAATATAGTATTTACATATTAATATGCTGCAAAACATCACACAATATGAAAAATAATTAAATGCATATAATAAAAATTTTTAATTCCTCAGATTTAAGGTCTGAAACGGAAATTTTTCAGGTAAGTTTTTACATGATAATTCAGTTCTGCTTCATTTATGCAGATCACACTATTTTCAAGTTTAATCTACAAATGCATTACATCAATTGCTGATGAAATTTGAATGGTGTATTTGAACCATGTATAACGTATTACTGATACTAGCAAAATCAGCTACTCAATAAATTTCACTAATCATGTTATAAGTAATTTTGGTATTTATAAACATATTATAGATTTATGTACAAGTTTATTATTATGTACAGTATGAGTATGCCTCGTGTTTTGACCTTTATATGGAGTCTCTTTACATTTGATCATCTTTAAATAATTTTTATTTTTTAGACGACGATCAAAATTTAACTACTGGTAGAATTAAGTCTTTTAAAAGCCCATCTGTTTTATTTTCTGCCTGTTCAGTTTTCAATTAAAAAAAAAAAAAAAAAAAGATGCTTCACATAATAATTTAGATTTATTACATTATCACAATGGTCTTAAACTGCATGCGGGACAAATGCACAATCTGAAAGTAGTAGACATGCCAAAATTAAAAAAAGAAAAAGGGAACAAAGAAAGAAACACATTTTCTGTTAGCAAAATAAAAAAAAATTTATTACACGTTTTTCAAAACGTACATATAAAAAAAAAAATCAAATTTATATTTATTTCTGGCTGAAATCTTAAAGCTGGTGCCTGCAAGAAATTTCTCTTGGCTATAGTTTGCAATTCACACTGATTGATTGCAAAACATTAAGATTTTCAGATTGACCATTTATTCAAATAACTGTAATATATTGAAGTTACTACTATACAACTTACTTTTAATTCAAACTTAAGAGAAATAAAAGAAAACTTCTGAAGAGGGACAAAACTTGAGAATAAATAATGGCAACCTATTCTCTCTCTTCTAATTATTAGATTTTTCTATGATGCAAAATAATAATAATAATAATAATAATAATAATAATAATAATAATAATAATAATAATAATAATAATTATCAACTTCTTTCTTCTTACTAAACCTTTCACCTACAACCCCTCATGGCTTTTTGATTGTCATAAAGTTTGTAATTTAGAAAAAATCTTCATCTCAATTTTTAAATACTCATTGGCAGTAAGGTTCTTTTCATAGATTTATTAATTTTCAACTACGGGAAAACTATTCAAATGTAAACATACTCCATGGAGGTAAGAAAGGAAGGAGTGGCCAACCGGCACTAGAGGTGAAGAACTGCTTCGAAGCTTCGGTCACCAGATGGGATGTTCTTTGTTTACATTCAGAAGCTCACTTGACAGTGTTCTGATAGTATTTCGACACACGACAGTTCCATACAAATCGAAAAAGGAACACTTTCACATGAAAGAAACATTCATAGTGTGATAAATAATAGCAATTTGTATAGTTTAGTGACATTTATGCAAAAATCACATCTTGGTTATTTTTCGATAACTAACAGCGATTTTGATTATGAATTTGTTTTATAAAATTCTAAGCTGTTGAACTACAAAAATATAAATTTTAACAAAAATATTATGCTTAAAGAATAAAAAATACCTTACGGTACCTTTAAAATTGTATACGTCTTTTGATACCTTTGATAGAGTATTCGCTACTTTTATTTTATGGCGGCCGAGCGGTAAAGTTGCTGAACACTGGTAGTTTGTGGTCCGAGGTTCGAATCCCGCGAACGGGCTAGCTGCATGGGCGTTTTCGTGGTTTTTTCCATGTGTAACGTGTATACGAGCCAGTTTTCCTTAGAAAGTCCTCCACAAAGGCATCCCTCCTCTTAGGCAGATAGCCCTCGAGGCTTTGCCATAATCACACACACACTTTTATTTTATGTTCCAAACGCCAAAATGTTTTATATAAAATAAATTTTTTTCATATCCATATATTATAGTAACATGTACCTTTTAAAATTTTTTAGAGGAGAGGCTTTACTGTTGCTCATGTTAATTAAATAAAATATAGTGAATGCACAGAAGTTAAAGATTTGCACATGCCGGAAATGCAAAATATGAAATATGTATGGATATTTATGCATGTGCTTGCAAAAAGCATGTATCTGCCTTTAACAAAATACATAAATATTCATTAAATTATTTATAAATGTATTTGAAATGAAGAATTTATTCATTTATAAACAACTGTGAAGAAATCTAATTATTAAATGTATCTAATTTATAATGATTATAACTGTTATCTAAATATATAATAATCTTAATATTGAATTGTAAACATGAATTGAAATCCTGTTGACAAATACGTTATAAAACTATTTAAGCAAGAATTGTTCGTACTGGAAAGCAATCTGTTAAAAGGCATTGTAAAGCAAATGCTATGAGATGTGCACTTAAGAAAGTACTAAAGAGTTTTGGAATATGTATTGTTGAAATTAATGGTAAAAAAAAATCTGATAGGTATAATTAAAAGAATTATTCCCCTTACATTTTATAATAACTCAGTTACAAGTTTTAAATAATACAGTCAAAAGTCGTTAATCCGAACTCATCGGGACTTCGGCGATTCCAGATTATCGATTTTTCCAGATTATAGATCATCAGTTTAAATTTCGTAAGATGGCATGCAGAAATTCTAAAATTAAAAATATGAAACCATAATTTATGAAATAAAGAACAATTATGATCTAAAGAGTATCAAAAAAAAAAAAAGCTTAATATTTATTTATTTTATTAAACATTTCTTTCAATGTAAGTTGTTTAAGTTGCTTCGTTTTATGTGATAATACTTTCTCTTTAATTCTATAAACAGACAGAATTTCTTGTTCAGTTACAAAGCTCCGCTGTTCAAGACCCGTTAATTGCTGTGCCGAGAATACCGACTAACTTGTCAATTGAAATTTTTTCGTTTTCACTAACCTCTCTGTCACATTCTTCATGTCTTTATCCATTTTTTGCAGCAATTCCACTTTTTGTTTGTTGGACATCGAAACATACTTTCGTTTTGTAGATCCTTTGGAAGTTCCAGCATCGGAAATTCTATTTGACATAATCGAAAGTTCAAGTTTACTTTTATAAATTGCTCTTACAGTCTGCAAAAAATAATAAGCGCGATCCAATTCGAAGATTAAGGAACAACGCAATAATTAACATTAACTGAAATAGATAATTAGATAATTTTAGCTTAGACCGTCCGTTATACATTAAACACGCAGGCGAAAACGTATTCTGCACTTGCGCACACGCATATGCGCAGTAGTCAAGGTCTTACGTGCACGCGTAAAACGCCTGTGCGCATGTGCCAACGCGGCGCATGCGCAGAAAGTTTTTAGCTTTGAGGTCCGGATTATAGATCATTCCGGATTATGGGTGTCCGAATTAACGACTTTTGACTGTACTTTAAAAAAATCCTTTTTGTATTCCCTTTCAGAAATGTTCAGAGAAAGTTAAGTACTATTTAAAGTATTTTGCTAATTTTTAATAATGCTGTAATTTAAAATGAACCGAATAGAGCATTAATTATAAATTGCCTTATATTTTTCGATTTAAAAGATGCCTCAGAAGCCAAAAAATCATGTCATATTTAAGAAAGTATTTTAGGAAGAAGCTCTATAAATCGAAAAGAAATAATGCATAATATTAATAATAATAATACAATAAACTTTGATCTTAATTTTTGTACCTTAACCCAATAAAATCGAATTACCTTAAATTTTTTTCCTAATGTAATTAACGAAAACTTGTGAAAATATTTCATTCAAATTAAACCATTCTGAGAAAACTGTTCTGCGAAAAGTATAGCATTTAATTCCGTTCAGAATGAAATGTTCTTTAAAAATATGTTGTTCATATACTTAGGACTCTGAAGTGATGTAGAAAAAAGAAAATATATACATTTATGTGTATATATACAATGTAATTACAAAATATTTACATCCGATCGTGTCAAAACCCATTGAACTTAATAGTAAATGACCCAATGTTTTGGTTACCACGTAGGGATCGCCAGTGCTTCAGAGCAGGATATGGGAGAAACCTGTTTAGAGCTACTCCATCTTACTACCTCCATAATATACTCGGGAGAGCGATTATTTTTACTGAAAAAATTGGTAACTGAGAATATATATCTTTCATCGAGTACCGCAAAAGTATTCTTGATCTTCAAATGTTGTATAAGATTTATATCACAATGTCAAATAATTAGCTATTTCTATATTTTCTGCAAAGTTGTGATCATTGGCGCTGAAAATAATGTAAAACGGGACTCCAAACAATTAAAATCTTTTTCTACAAATTCTTGTCATTATAAAGCTAATTAATTTAGAGGAAATGTATTTGCAGGCTGTATAAAATTACTTTGGGAGCCACATGTAATCCGCCAGTTTGAGACCGCTGCAACCGAGCTTTGAAAGAAACCAAGAAATAAAAAAAAGGTCATCTTTAAACTCAGTGTATACAATGTAAAACTCTGAAGCAGAATACTTGCCTCTGCATAATAATAATGCCTAAAACCTAATAATTGCACCAAATTGAGTGATAAACAACAAACATGCATTTCCTCATTCTGAATGCAATAAAAGTACTGCATACATTTAGGGAAAATATGAATATGCTTACATTTGGTGGGAAAAAAGGGAAAGGTTTTCCCCTTTGTCCTTAAAAAATATACTATTTTGTTAATTATGCATTCATGCAGCATGCAAAGGGAAAATTAGAGAGGACACAATAACAGCCAGTTCATTTTGTTTTAAAATTCTGATTGAATGCAATGCTGTGTATTTAAAGTAATTAATACAGATTTTACTATTTAATTGAGTTAAATTTGCAATTTGAAATTTACAGGAATGAGCCACATGCATCACATGCCCTAAGATGCCGTCCCTGTTTGCAAGTGAGTATTTTAGTGAGTGGATTAAAAAAACTTCCACTAAATCCAAATGCTAAGCATAGCCTTTCTCTGACAGCAAGAACACTATATGATTATTTTATTTTATTCCACATCTCTCTCAGTTTTAAATCAAGCATGCACACTGTTAATGTCTGTAAGAATAAGGCCATTCATAGATATGGTAATTATACACTGTCTTAAATGTAAGTTAAATATTGAAAAATTCAGAGCATATAGAACATAATAAATTTATACTTTTAGTAACGAAATGTTAAACAATATTCAATAATTTAAAAATTTATATTATTATATAATTAATTTTTATAGCTTTAAAATATTAATATGAAATACTATGTCAGGGCTAAAATATATAAAATTACATTACCTGTACATTTTCATTCCTTGTAGGTGAACAGCTGCTTCCACCTTTATTTCGTTCTTCGTGAGAAATATCAATGTCATTTTCTGATGCCACAAAAGTAGCTATAAATAAATGCAATTAGAAATGAACAGAAAAATAACTTGTTTAAATATAGTCTAAAAGTAAACAAAGATAAATACTGTGCTTATGTATGATCTTTCATAACACAATCAATCAAACTTCCAATTCTCTACTTCTTATGCAGTATAAATCCCCATTACCAGATTTTTATGCATCATATTAAAATTTTAAATTTATAATACTTAAAGAATAAATTCCTAATATTTTTATTACATACAAATAAACAGTTTAGAAACTGCAACAGAACAGTTTTAATGTGTGTTTTCCTGATTAATGGAATATGATAGGAAATGTCAAATGAATATTATACGACTCAATTCTTTCACTGTGATGATAAAGCATTAATTATCAATCAATTAATAAAATGGTAAATATCTACAATATGGTTTTAAATCCAGAGATTATTGGCATTTTGGCTTTGAATAGCATTTTAATTTGATGGTGATGATTCAGGAAATCCTTTTTTTTTTAATGCAAAATAACTCATTTTGAAAGAAATGTTCATAGAGAATATATTTAATTTCTTCATGTCTTATCACTAGACTTAAGATGATGATCTAAAATCTGTGAGACATTTTCGAAATCTGAAATCACCTAAGTCACGACATTCTGGATGTCAGACTGTACATATTTTGAAATTTTAACCAACATAATTAACAGAAGATAAATGAAACTTTGAATTAAATGAAAATGAATGCATTGATCAAAACTTTTCAGTTTAGTAAACCATTTAAAAATTTTGAGCATACACCGAAAAATTCAAAGAAAAACAAAATTTTCAAAATAATTATGACTGGGAGCCACAGTGTCTCTTTCATTAAGAAATCTGATATAGAAAAAAAGGCACATATATATTCCTACCCTGTCATATTTGCAAAACTATAAATTGTCACAGAGAAATGACTATACAGTCAAAAGTCGTTAATCCGGACTCGTCGGGACTTCGGCGATTCCGGATTATCGATTTTTCCGGATTATAGATCATCAGTTTAAATCTCGTAAGATGGCATGCAGAAATTCTAAAATTAAAAATATGAAACCATAATTTATGAAATAAAGAACAATTATGATCTAAAGGGTATCAAAATTTACAAAAAAAAAAAAAAAAAAAGCTTAATATTTATTTGTTTACTTTATTAAACATTTCTTTCAATGTAAGTTGTTTAAGTTGCTTCGTTTTAAAAAGTCAAAAGTCTTTAATTCTATAAACAGACATAATTTCTTGTTCAGTTACAAAGTTCCCCTGTTCAAGCCCCGTTAATTGCTGTGCCGAGAATACCGACTAACTTGTCAATCGAAATTTTTTCGTTTTCACTAACCTCTCTGTCACATTCTTCATGTCTTTATCCATTTTTTGCAGCAATTACACTTTTTGTTTGTTGGACATCGAACCATACTTTCGTTTTGTAGATCCTTTGGAAGTTCCAGCATCGGAAATTCTATTTGACATAATCGAAAGTTCAAGTTTACTTTTATAAAATTGCTCTTACAGTCTGCAAAAAATAATAAGCGGGATCCAATTCGAAGATTATGCAATGATTAACATTAACTGAAATAGATAATTAGATAATTTTAGCTTACACCGTTCGTTATACATTAAACGCGCAGGCGAAAACGTATTCTGCACTTGCGCACACGCATATGCGCAGTAGTCAAGGTCTTACGCGCACGCGTAAAACGCCTGTGCGCATGTGCCAACGTGGCGCATGCGCAGAAAGTTTTAATTTTGAGGTCCGGATTATAGATCATTCCGTATTATGGGTGTCCGAATTAACGACTTTTGACTGTAGTTCATTTATTTTACGAATAATAACCAATTTACATTCATTTTTGAACATGAAAAGAACCTAATCCCACATCTGCAGACATTTCTACATATGATATTGGTCTCTGTATGTTACACAATCAGTGAAGACTTGGAATGAAACACACACCTTTAAAATAACTGAATTTTAAGAAAAAGAATTTTCGGTTTCTCCAAATGTGTTTTTCCACATTATAAAATAGGTCGTACCTTTTCCCCCTTTATCAATGACAAAACTACTTTATGCATAATGAACATACTCACTTCGTAATGGACCAGATCTTGAAGTAAAATTGCAGCTTTTCTCTATATGATTAAACCTATAAAACAAAATTTAGTCATAACTGAAAATTCATTAATTAAAACAAATACATACAAAAGACTTTTAAAATTTCAGTTTTATAATACTAAATAGAAAAGTTACCATAATAAAACCGTACTTTTCCTTTATCTGCCTGCAATATCATAAAATCATAAGAACAAATAATATGATATAATAACACATAAAAATTAATAATAGGACAATGAGAAAAATTAATTTAATTACAAAAAGGTTATTTTGATTCCATTATAGAGGCAATAGGCAAACAGTTTCCACCTGAAATAAACATGAATTGACATGAGCAACACCCCTTCTACCCTTTTTATAATTAAATTTATTTTTCTCATTGCCTTATTATTAATTGTTATGCTTTATCATATCATATTATTTGTTCTTATTGTTCTTTGTTAAGACAATAAGAACACACAATTGTTTAAGATACAACTGCCAGATTTGCAGACAAATAAAGGAAAAGTACCAATCAAACTTCTAAATATAATTATTATTATTCTCGAAACCACCATGCACAGCAAGAGATTCCTTAGAAAAACTTCCTAATGCAATTCAATAATTTTCTGCCATTTACATATTAAAACTGTATATAATTATCATATGCAGTATTTAAATCAAAATCTAAATAAAATGTTAGGCAAATTTCAATCTGGATATTTCTCCAACAGTCTAAATATTGAAGATGAACCACAACTACTATGAATCAAGAGTTTTCCTAGACTTTCTTTCTATATGCTTAAACCAGTTTTTAAAGTTTCAGAAGTTATCCATGCCAAGCAGGCATGTGAGGTGGGTGGTTCAGGTAAAAAATGAAAGAGGAGGCAAAAGTTAAATATAATAAATATCAGTATGAAAGTGATAAAAATATTTATGCAAACAGCTTTGAAATTTGCTTTATGTATTAAGATCTACTGACACACTTTCAATTAATGCACTTACTTTTATACTCATTGGAAAATCACCACTTTATAATACCTTCATTTAGAAAATAACAATAAATAATAATTTTTAAATTTCAAAAAAGAAAACCTTATTTTTTTGCTACTTCCTGATGTACTTAGACAATATAGCATTATTGCATCACTGAGAGCTTTCTCATAACCTACTAGTTACATCAGTGTTATACATACAATCCAACATAAAATTTCTATATCAACGCAACTCCTTTAATTTGACACTTATCCGAAAATCACACCACTTTTGACTTGGTTTGTTTGTTAAAGAAATGTATATGTGTTGTGATGACATAGATATCCAAAGCTACAATAATAGCTTTTATTGCATCAAGCACACTCCAAGTTGGCATTTTCTGTGTCCTTTTCAGCAATGCAAATCACAGCTCTCAAAAGTCTTCTGATAAGATCTCTTCATAACTGCAATAGTGCCTTAATTCAAAGGCAGAAGATGACTTGCATTTGGAGGCAAAAGTGAATCTTTTCATTAATTAAGTTCAGGTCACATATATTATGCGCTGTATACCAGCCAAGTGTTATAAGAACATCTTTAGTCTAAGCCATCACTCAGCTATTAAAACAAAGAAGCCAAGTATGAAATGTCAAGCTATTGATCCAAGCTTTCTTGTAAGGTAAAGTACTACAGTCAAAAGTCGTTAATCCGAACTCATCGGAACTTCGGCGATTCCGGATTATCGATCATCAGTTTAAATTTCGTAAGATGGCATGCAGAAATTCTAAAATTAAAAATATGAAACCGTAATTTATGAAATAAAGAACAATTATGATCTAAAGGGTATCAAAATTAAAAAAAAAAAAAAAAAAAAAAAAAAAAAAAAAGCTTAATATTTATTTACTTTATTAAACATTTCTTTCAATGTAAGTTGTTTAAGTTGCTTCGTTTTATGTGATAATACTTTCTCTTTAATTCTATAAACAGACAGAATTTCTTGTTCAGTTACAAAGCTCCGCTGTTCAAGACCCGTTAATTGCTGTGCCGAGAATACCGACTAACTTGTCAATCGAAATTTTTTCGTTTTCACTAACCTCTCTGTCACATTCTTCATGTCTTTATCCATTTTTTGCAGCAATTCCACTTTTTGTTTGTTGGACATCGAAACATACTTTCGTTTTGTAGATCCTTTGGAAGCTCCAGCATCGGAAATTCTATTTGACATAATCGAAAGTTCAAGCTTACTTTTAGAAAATTGCTCTTACAGTCTGCAAAAAATAATAAGCGCGATCCAATTCGAAGATTAAGGAACAACGCAATAATTAACATTAACTGAAATAGATAATTAGATAATTTTAGCTTACACCGTCCGTTATACATTAAACACGCAGGCGAAAACGTATTCTGCACTTGCGCACACGCATATGCGCAGTAGTCAAGGTCTTACGTGCACGCGTAAAACGCCTGTGCGCATGTGCCAACGCGGCGCATGCGCAGAAAGTTTTTAGCTTTGAGGTCCGGATTATAAATCATTCCGGATTATGGGTGTCCGAATTAACGACTTTTGACTGTAATATGTTTTTAAAACGGCAAGGTTTCTCAGATGACCACCCAAGGATGGTATTTATCACTGCTGTCTGTATAACACACAAGCACAACACTTAAACATCTTTTACTGCATGTTCCACCATTGGCACTTACCACCTTTCATTCCGAGGGTACGACTTGGGAAAAGATTGTAAAAATCCAATTTGATACACATTGTAGATGACTCGAGGCATACTTTTCTAATGCATACAACCAGTTGTCTGTTCCTTCCAAAATGCATATAATGAGTTGTTTGTTATTTTTTCATCAATTTTATTTGCTTCAACACAAATCACTAATGATGAAATTAAGTCTTTTTTTAGAAGCAGCGCAGCCAATTAATTGAGCAATTGAAAACTTGAATGTCTAAATTTTTTGTAATCTCATTTGCTTTTGACTGAATTGCAGGTTCACTTACAGGCACACTGGAAGCACACATATGACTGAATCATTCTAGAAGTAAGTTTCGATACCTTTAATACTTAGCTTCACAAAGTGGCTAATAGTCCAGTCAAATTAGAGAAATCGGTGGAAAAAAATATATCATAGAGTTTTGGAAATGGTCCTTTAGACTTGGGTTAATATGTGTAAAAAGTCCCCAAGGGTGGATGTGAGCTCGAGGAGGGGGAGGGCTTTAAAGGTATCTTTTTTTCAGTTTTTTGCTTATATCTCAGAAACTATCACTCCTACAGAAAAATACATTATGTACAAAATTGAAGCTGACAAAATTTCCTACAAAAATGGTACTATGCAATTTTGTCCTAGGACTAACCTGTTAGAAGTTACAAGGCTGACAAAAGTAACATTAATTCAAAAATTGTGCTTTATTTGGTTTTAAATCTAAAGTACAGTTTACAATTGTCTTGTACATTAATATTGAAGATTTGGATTACATTATGAATAAATTTAATTGTAGCCAGTAAGTAAATATAATGTATTGGGTCAAACAATTCATTACAGGTGTCAAGTGGATCTTCAAGATTCTCCTCAAATGCTGAATTCTCGTCTTCAACTTGGAGGGCCACTGGTGCACGTGCTCTCATAACTGCATATTAAAGAGCAATGAATGCCTGCCTTACAGCATCCACAGCGTGTACAACAGCCTTTTTTGCAGCTGCAGAATATTGTCATAGAACAGCAACTGGGGCAGTGTAATGCAAGGTAGGCAAGGGTTGAAGATTGCTATCTGATCCTCTCATCTAACCCCAAATCTGTAGGTGGCAGTTTGTTGCCCAGTTATTCCTGAACTTGCAAACAGACTCTGTATGAGTGTTGCAGTGCACAGCCTTTAGTTGGTGGCAAAGAAGAAAGGTCTGGCATCATCCTTGTGGTGGATTTTAGGAAGGCTAGCACTGTTTGTCCAGGTCTGTTTCTTTGGCATTGTACATTGCTAGGAACATCTGTTCCCTGTGTCTGTTACTTCCTTGTGTATTGAAGTGTTGGTGTAAAAGACATGGAATATGGAATACAAGCTGCTGTTCTTCATAAATAATTTAGAAATCCATGACTTGCCTTTTCGGAAAATTGCAGAGGTTGTATCACAGCCGCTAAAAATACACATGAAAAAGATGCTCTTGGCAAAGTCAAGTTCCTGCAATTCCATGAAGGAATAAGTTTTGCTTTCTTCATTCCCCTTCTCTGGTTTCAATAACAGCATCAGCCTGTCTGACTGCAGTTCCCTCAGCAATCATTTTCTGAGGCAGCATAGTAATGAACCTAGCCTTATTTTTTCATTATTTAAAAAGTGTTGTTGAGCCATCACTGCCATCTCATCAATAAAGTCAATATCGACTGATGCGGTGATGGTGGTGGTTCGACATTTTTTTTTCTACGTGTTTTGTGCTTTTGACAGTGTCATAATATCCATTAAAAATGACAGTGCAGCATTCACCATAGTGTTTTTTATGTAAATTACATATTGATTAAATATCACTGAGAAGGTTGATCCTATACCCCACTTGATTCGGCGAAGAAGGAATCCGCCTCCAATCACATTAGTGTAAAGCTTGAGGTCTGAAGTAATGGGATGAGCACGGAAAAGATCATATAATGCAGAATTTTTAAGTTGCATTCACACTGGTCCGTTGGGGCGTCAAAGCATAAAAGAATGCTGTCCGCGTACATCAGTTCACACCAACATGGCAACTTTCGATTTAGAAGTTGTCATATGCTTGCACTAGATGGCGCTTCATATCGGAAATTTGGGGGGGAAAATGTGAAATTTTTGTGTCGTATTTTGACTTTTTACGATTACATTTAAAAATTAAAATGGATTTAATTTCTGCTTGATTAAAACTTATTTTACTTCTTGCTTTGTGTAAGAGAAGCAGAATGCAGTGTTATATTATTTACATGTCATTATTATATTAACATGTGATATTATATTAACATGTTTATATTAACATGTGAGAGATGACTACAGTAAAGAGATGCACATAATTAAAGAAATACGCTTGAACGAAACAAAACTTCTTTTAATTATTTTTGCATAAA